AGCGAGGAATCAAAGAATGTGCGAGGTTTCTCACATGATTCCAAACGCACCAATTTTGCAACCTGTTGGGTTGAAAAGTAATTGTTGCTTCAACGAGGCGAAGTGCAGACGACCGGCTTGTGGGTCGCGTTGCAAACAATTGATGGAGTCAAAAATTACACAGTGAGCTCTGCTCAGCGGCAGATTTTCATTCGAGATCTTACGATGCTCAATTTGTTTGGCAGGAGGTGGACTCCAGGCAGAGACCGGAGAATAAAGAATACTTGAATGATATTGATTTGCTCTCATGTCGCATCCACATTGAGGACTAATTGAATAAATGGCTGTTCAAATGGCTTGAGGGATACTATTTTTTTCGACTCCTTCCCAGATATCATTCTTCACGTAGCATTCGGCTATTGTGTCAGCTACGCAAAGAGCCTCGGCAGGGGACACAACGTAAAACAATTGTCAACGGCAGCTTTTGAGATTAATAATGACGGCAGCCTTTAGTCCTTTTATCGGTATTTGCAGTCAACGTTACCTTTTGCTATATAGAATTGATTTGGAAGAAATATGGAAATAAATCCACTCAGATTATTGCTGTCTCATTAACCGACTGACATTGGCGGTTCCCCGCATCTCTGAGACGAAAAAATGAGATTTGGGGAGTAGTGCATATTAGACAGTTTGGGTCAAGCTTAAATTTTTAAACATAAGCCAGTTCTGTGTCTTCCGGCAAAACGAACTGGAGCTATAAAATGCAGAGATCAGGCACCAGTTCATAAGGCTCGTATTTTTTGGCATGACAAAACAATATGCATGTTTTCGTCATTTCTGGATCAACCATCTTGCAACCATTCCTTGGTGAAGAGAACAAGCAATCTATAAGAAATCCTTAATTTGCTATGGAATTTTAGCCCGAATCTCAGATGTGCAAAAAATCTACACATCCACTGCAGTACTGCCCTGTTTTAAATTGGAATTCATTACCTTCCTTAAAAGGCAGACGAAACAGTAGAAAATGCTGTCCTAATTATCAGCTTAAGCATCTCAGTTCCGTTATCAATAGCAATGGTAACCATTTAGTCAGAGCTAAATATGCAGATTCCGATACTGGTTTTCAGTATTTCTTATAAGTTATCAAATACTGGATTTAAGGACAGAACATCCCGTTAAGAAACATGTTTATCCTTTGTTTGGTTAGACGATTGCACAAAAATGGACTGAACAAAATCATAATGTGAAATGATGCAGAAAATGAAGTGCTTATGGGCATATGATAATGTTTCGACTCATCTAGGGAATAATCAAGAAGTCAGTTTTCACAAATTTGCATTTCTTCATTTTAGGAGCAACGTATTAGGAACGCAGTTCACTCTTTATGACAATGGAATCAACCCACATAAAGACGTACTAACAGACGAAGAAACCAGACGAGAATTAGCAGCTGTCATATATGTAAATCATTTCGTTGTTTAAATGCGTCTTTTGATGTCCAGTGATTATTGACCGTTTATGTGGACGATGAGTGCTTGTGCTTAGGCAATTGTTCGTGTTGACATAAATGTGTGATTGTACTTGTCGCATCAGTTCATCTTCATATCTTGGATTCAATTTTAGGATACAAATGTCCTTGGTTTCAAAGGTCCCCGTAAAATGACTGTGATCTTGCCCGCTGTACATGACTCTAGCGCACTGAAGCGCTGTGGCTTTAAACCGCTGACGGTAAACATTTTTTTGTCAATGTGTTTTTATGCTTCGCATACATTCCATAAGTAATTACGTCACTAATTGGGTAATGGAAAATGTATATATTTGCATGTACTTATCATAATAAAATGCCACTACTTACAAGGTTTAAATCGACAGTTTCACATTTTCCATCATCAATGCAGATGGTAATGAAACAGGCTTTAAACGATGAACCATGCAGTCGTTGTTAAACGCCCGCCTTTGAAAAAAGTCTTTATTTTCTGTGTACAACCACTGAGTCATAAATTGTTTCCTTCACCCTAAATTAAACCACATAGCTATAAGTGGAATTAAATAAGGCGTGATTGATAAACCAGTTTGTAAAAAAAACTTAACTGCTCTAATTTTCACATGTAAATAATGAAAGAGGCTAATGAAAATTCCGTAAATCTTACTTATTTTTATTGAAGAGAAAGGATATACCATCTTTGCAGCAAATAAAATTCATATGACGAATCTGTTTGATTAAAACTAACGGTTTTATAACCAGACACGGTATTCGTGGAAAACAAGGAAACCGCAAAATGCATAGTAACATGGAATTCTCCGGCAAGAACCGGTCAGCTGTTGAGAAAAATTTACCCTGTTCGTGAAATATTGTTTGTGAAAAGTCAGTAATGTTCACGGCAGCATTGTTTTCCCACAGTATATAAAGTTCCTCATGCTTATGAGGCTGTCTGCTTATGAGAAAAAAATGTTCACTGCATATCCGGATGGAAGGTTTTGGGTAGTGTAATGTATTGCAGGGTAGGTGGATTCTGGGACCAATGGTCATCCTCGCAAGCGCAGTATTTCTCAGCTGGTTAGAACACCAGACGACAGAAGCAAACGTGGGGAACACATGCAGTACAACAGACTTAACAACGCAGTAAATCTTTGCAGACTTGTGGTTCTGGAATACCCAGTTGCCACGAACCAGATGATATATCTCCGCGAGCGCCAGAGTTCCGAGAAGTAGTCTGGAATGTTTAGAAAGTTTCGCAAGCCAGTGGCTGCTCGTTAGGCGATGCAGACTTTGAGATTGAATATTCCGTTGCAGCTGCCGGGGCTTTATTCCGTAACTTTACAGTATCAAGCCGTAAATCAAGAACGAATTAAAAACTACTTTGAGATGAAGATAACGACTCTTGAGTGATATGGACTTAATAACTGACTGATGCTTGATGGTTGATGTCTCAAAATGGGTGGAAAACATCATTATTAGCGTCACCTGGATGGTCAAGGCATAAAAATCTGGAAAAACCTACGTATCAAGGCTGAGGTATTCATAAAGCCATCTTACTGTATGCAGGACAGCACGTGTCATTTGTCACTGTCTTCCTAAACAGCATACTGCTGATTTCGCCGGCATACCTTGAGCAACTAAATCAATGAATACCGATAGCGGTCGCAGAAAAACAGAATATGATCTGCATGCTTGTCTCTGAGCATTTCTGACTGACTTTCATAATCGATCAAACTTCTATTCCTGTTCATCCACAGATCAAATTTTCGATAAGTGGTTTAACAGAAGATTAAAATCTTGACAAGTTTCATAGAGGCAGCATTATTCTCCAAAATTTACACCTCATTAAGTTAAGTTAAGCTTTATCAATCAGTTAAACTTTATCAATTAACTTCCATCTTTCAATAAATAATATGTACGTGCTACTGTTCGAATTAAATTTAGGCTCACGATAGCATCATCGAACGCTGGAAATGCGGGAAATACGACGACTTAATTGAGCTTCGTAACAAATCGCCTATATGGAATGAAGGTAAATTTCGTCATTGTTGAAATATGACAGATGTTCCAATTGCAATGCTGCTGTTACTACTGACTAACCGTAATAATTAAAAGAATAACAATGACTAGAATGATCTTGTGTTAGGAAAAGCAGTCTGAAGTGTTTCTTTGAATATTATGCAAAGTGGAAGTAAAACCATAGAGGAACAAGAACTGTTTCAAACCGTTTCAAAAGAAATTGGCCTAAAGACTGGTCATAGAAACACCAATGAAATTCATCCTTGCAAGGACACGGTAACAATGAGGTTGGTCGCTAACTCTGGAGGTGCTGGGTAAAGCCCAAAAACATTAACATTTGGCATACACACAGATTTCTTCTCTTAATCGATGTTCTAGAAAGTATCAGATTCCAAACCAAGTCAAATATTGCAACGTTTTGACATGCAAATAAATATCGGTTAGTCGTAGATAAAAACTTCATCGCTTTAAGACATCATGTATCAGCTTATAACCTTATATTTCAGAAACACAGTCATACATACTGAACTTCCATGGTCGCGTTACTCAAGCATCCGTGAAGAACTTTCAGATAATCCATGAAAATAACCGTAAGTACAAAAAATTTTCATTGTACTTAAACTCTGTTGCTACGAAACTCGTCGGCGAAGAGCCCGTTTTAATGCGATCTAAGTTGCATGAATATTTCTCATGGGAAAAGGAAGAAAATGCGGAATAAAATAGAATGGGGGGGCAAGGAAGGAGGAAAAGAAGGGACA